GATTCCAATCGACAAAATTACTAGACATTATTGGATAATTACAAAAATTTAATGATTACAAAAAGGTAGAAAATTGAACTTGCTCTGTTTTGGGACCTTTTAATTACTCTTTTTGTGTCCATTAATTATTTCTAATGGTCTTCGGTTCTCGCAAGCAGTAGCTCGTAATCCCGAAGCTCGTATTTGAAGCGCTTAATTACTATCAGTAAATCGCAATCAACGACCTTTCGTGAGAAAGACTCTAGCACTTGTATAGTCTCCTTTAATTAGTGACTACAATAATTTTCTCGGTTTGTGTAAATTATCGATCAGTAATTATATTTATTACTGGGAATTATTAAAGAAACCTATAAATTGACTTATGGGAAATTTTTAGTTATATTTTTTAGAAAATTTAAAAATAATTTTCTAATCATGTGGTATTATAGTGTTTATTGAATATATATTTAAATAGAAACTAACCCTTCTCGGTCACGATCTCGATCTCGGTTACTATCTCTCCAGTTATCTCGACTTCCGGAGTAGTTCCAACCACTTGCATATCCTCTGTCATATCCTGGCGCCCAAGCTCCAGAAGAGTAGTAGCCTCTGGAATTCACAGGATCTCTTCCTGCATATCTATCGTATCGATCATCATACGGTCTACGCGATCCACTTCTCTCGTAAGGGTCATTGCGATCGTATTTATTCATGTAATAACGATAATACCTATCGTATTTGTAATCGTATGGATCGTCTGTTGGCCGTCTATTATTGTAACGATCATACCGATCATCAGACAAATAACGTGTATCTAAATTGTCATAACCATTTCCACGATCGTAATTACGATCATAAGGCCGTTCATAAGAACGTTCAGAGGAATATCGTTGATCGTACGCACGATCTGATGATCGATCGTAATAACCATAACGATCATTCGATGTGTCATACCTAAATAGAGGAACAAAGATTAATGTTTATGAAAATAATATTTGTTTTAATAAAATTAGGTACGTATTACTATTACTAATTTCTACCACTTTTAATCTTTACAATTCCAAATACAAAGAAACTGAAAGGGAAAACAAATAGAAAATTAATTATTCACCTGTCGTTGTAGTACAATGGCCTTAATAAATCGGTTCGTTGATACGGATCATATCGATCGTAATCAGTACTTTGTGTTCTTGCCCTGTCGTAATAATCGTAACGATCTCGATATCTTCGATCGTCTTGTTCATCTTCGTAGTAATCGTATCTAGGTCTTTGTCTCGATCTCAAATTATAGTTTCTATAAATGGCAAATTACAAAAAAATTATAAAATAAAATTCGAAAAAAAAGTACTAGCATTGAATAATTATCTGACTAAAATTATTACTGACCCTCGATCCGCTGTGGCAGATTTGTTGGGGTCGCAGGTGATGCAACGAGATTCATAGTAAGCAGCATCGCGATGTTCAATAGCATCCGACCTAATGCCAACGATGCCGGAAGTCTGTGGGGCATTGTCATTGCTATATCTACTGGGATGGTATTGGTCTGAGCGCGCTTGACGATAGAGTGCGCCAAGCGTACTCGCAATCGGTGGAGTTGCAGTTTGAGTGATTACATGTGTTGTTGATTCCGTTGCCGATGCACTACTTTGCGAAAGAAGCAATAGCACCGCTATCGTATTGTAAAACTGTGAACAAAGCAAATTTTATTTTATTACTCATTATCCAAATTAACACATATATAAAAGAACATTAAAATTTCATTATATTTGCAAATGATTTTGAAAACAAAAAGATGCTCAGACTTATTTTGCATATAAAATTATTCCCGCGAAAAAAAGCCTTTCTTGAATAATGCATTAATTTTAATACCACTCTTACAAATTATTTAATGCATGAGTGACTAGACGATATTTTTTTAATTTATCAAAAAATCAATTAACTCTAGATCAGAAATGACGTCTATAAAATATATTTGATTGGATCCATTTCGGAGTGAATCTCAGTAAATAAATTAATCATTAGACCTCATTGCAAAGAAGAGATATTTGAAATATAAATTTTCTTGGGTGAATTTCTGAGCTATTGGAATTAATTAAACCAAGTACCCGAATACGTTAAATTAAAAAAACAAATAAATAATTTTTTAATAAATTAATTTTTATCTAAATTAAAAAAAATCATCGTTAAATAAAAAAAATTATGTGAGGCAATTTGCAAATTTTCTGCAATTGGTTTCGGACTTACGTGAATCAAATTAAATAAAATAAGAAGATTAATATTAAAATTAATTATCTATATTTAGAAAAATGTTCTTTAAATAAAAAAAATTATGTGTGGCAGATTAGCAAATTTTCTGCAATTGGTTTCGGACTTAAGTTAATAAAAATAAATAAACTAACTAGATTAATATTAAAATTGATTATCTTTATCTGGAAAGTTTTTCGTTAAATAAAAAAAATTATGTATGGCAGATTAGCAAATTTTCTGCAATTGGTTTCGGACTTACGTGAATCAAATTAAATAAAATAAGCAGATTAATATTAAAATTAATTATCTATATTTAGAAAAATGTTCGTTAAATAAAAAAATTATGTGAGGCAGTTTTGCAAATTTTCTGCAATTGGTTTCGGACTTATGTGAATCAAATTAAATAAAATAAACAGATTAATATTAAAATTAATTATCTATATTTAGAAAAATGTTCTTTAAATAAAAAAAATTATGTGTGGCAGTTTTGCAAATTTTCTGCAATTGGTTTCGGACTTACGTAAATCAAATTAAATAAAATAAGAAGATTAATATTAAAATTAATTATCTATATTTAGAAAAATGTCTTTTAAATAAAAAAAATTATGTGTGGCAGTTTTGCAAATTTTCTGCAATTGGTTTCGGACTTAAGTGCATAAAAATAAATAAAATAATAAGATTCATATTAAAGTTGATTTTTTTGAGAAACTTTAGTTAAAAAGTATTATGGGTGGCAGTTTTGCAAATTTTCTGCAATTGGTTTCGGACTTACGTGAGTAAAACTAAATAACACAACAGGTTGAATATTAGAATTGATTATTAGAATTTTATTTTTGAAACACATATTCGAAACATAAATTTTTTTGAGTGAATTTCTGAGCTATTGAAATTAATTAAACGCCAGTACAATTTTCCTTTAAAAAAAATTAATAATAATGCTATTTTCTTTTCCACATTAACTGCATAATTTCTTTAGTTTACATCTTCAAGGTTGTGATGAAAATTATGCATAATGCATCACGTTGCGCAAAAGTATACAGAGCCTCCGTATAGAATAATATTCTAATTGAGTGCGTCCTTCAATTTCACTTTTTATGACAGTTCATTTTATTTGAACGATTTTTTTTCACGACCTTATTTTTTCGCTGATTAAATTTTTTGAAATTAAAAAAAAAATTAATAACTCATATTTAATGAAATTATTTATTCCAATTTTTTATAGAAAAAAAAAAGATGAACAATGTTCATATTCTGTGAGTATATTTTGCTATTAAAAATTAACCTTTCAATTTTACATTCAATATCAATTTTTTATAAACATTATTACAAAATATTGCTTTAAACCTTTTAGGTAAATGAGTTTTGGGAGTAATTTTTTAAGAGTCATGTCATTTTTTTTAGCTTTGCTTTTTTTTTAATTTTAATACCCTTCATATTTTTGTATCCATGGATGTGTACTTTAAATTTTAATAAAATGCGAGCAAAAATTATTTAGTTAAAAATAGAAATACTAAATGGAAAAATTTATTTAAAAATAATAAAAAATTTTTTTTTTTAAAAAGTACTAAATATATCATTATTTGGTAATAGAAAAAATAAATTTTTATCATATTCAAATATATTTTAAATTAATTTAAAAAAATTGAAAATTCTTAAAGAATTCTTTGAATTTTTTTTTTTTTATTTTCAGGGGGTTGGAGAATTTTATATACAAAGAATTGTTCTTTCATTGTCGGTTGCACGAGTGGGATGTACCTTGTTCTCCAAAAACCACTGCTGGAATAACCGACACAAGGATCGCACTATACGAAACACCATACAGTAAAAGATTTATTGCATCAACCACAAAAAAAAAGGGTGAGTGAGGGGGTGGCGGTGGTGGAGGATGGAAGGGGAGAAGAAATACTACTCTACAGTCGTTCGCAGACACAGAAGAGCACGAATTTTTCACTCTACTAGAGAAAAATAATAAAAACTGTAAAAGCTTCCTCTCACTTGTTATATAAACTCCAATACATGTTTTATATCTCAACATTATTCATATCTAAATGTAGCTGATTTACTATTATTGAAATGAAAGAAATCTTTTTTTCCTACTAATAAAAAAGTACAGTTGATTATCTACAAATAAGAGCACTTCTCAAAGACAATTAGAATTTAGACGAAAAAAAAAAATGACAGAAAACAAAAAAACTGCATGCGGGTTTGTCTTAGAAATGTAATTACCGAAATAAAAAAAAAATCCGAATTTCAAGAATAAGAACTTTAAATTAACTTAGATGAATTTAAAAAATCATTTCTTGAATTCACATATTGATAGTAATAATAATAAGAATAATTTACAAACAATGCGTAGGAAAAGCAAAAAATTTTATAATTGTTTTAGTCTGCAAATTAGCAAGATTAAGTATATTTATTTTTTTAATAATACTCATTCAATTTGCTTTTTTACAGTATAAATAAAACACTTTTTTTGGTACTTAGTGTACTTATCACAGTAATAACTAATTATCAAACTATTAAACTCATTTTAAATTCATATTATCTCAAAGCATTTATTTATTTCCAGTACATGTTAAAAAATTAATTTGAAGCGTGTAGAATTAGTTGTTTTTACTTGACGTGTGACATAATAAAGGATGAATAAAAACAGTTTCTATTTATTGTGAGAATATATTCATTATAAGCAAAACCTATTGGATGTTAAGAACACTTTTGATATTTTCTCTTCAATTTTTGTAAAATTCATTTTAAATAATATTTAAATTATAAAAATGTTATTAATATCAGTGTTTGTTTTTATAACTGTAAGTGTATTATATTTGGTAATTTGTGAAATTTTGCGAATTAGAAGATTATACAGAAAAACAGCTGATATACCCGGACCATTAAATTATCCATTAATTGGAAGTGGATATATTTTTCTTGGCTCTAATACATGTATGTTTCACTATAAAGCTAAATTTAAAAGAATTAATAACAAAATTTTTAATTTTTTCAGATCTCTTTAATAATTTTTTAGAACTCATGAAATTTTATGGTTCACCAACAAGAATTTCATTTGGTCCAAGAATGTGGGTCTTTATTAAAAATCCAGAACAAATAAAAGTAATAATATTAGAATTAAAGTATATAATTTAACAATTTATATAAAATGTTGATCATATTTATCAGAAATACTGTCTTTTTTTAAAAAGTTTTCTTTATTTACTTTAAGACTGTTCTTCGCAATAACAATACTGTCGAAAAAGATAATATTTATCATATCCTTAAACTTGGACTAGGAAAAGGATTGGTGACATCTGAACGTGAGTTTTATAAAGTGTGAAATATTTATCAAAGTTTATCAAAGAAAAAAAAAAGATTTTTCTTCTAATTCTTATCTAATTATTTCTTTTTATTTTCGTTTTAAATAATTTTCAAAAAATTTGAAGCTAATAAATCAAAGTAGAAATTCATTTCATTTTGCTGAAGATGTGATAAATTCGATTCTTTTTTTTTGCAGATAAAATATGGCGTGTACATCGAAAAATACTTCAACCCACATTATCCACTCAAATTGTCAAATCATTTATGTCAATTTTTCAAAAAAATGCACTTCTTTTAACAGAAGCTGTAGAAACAAATATAGAATGCCAGGAATTTGAATTGTCTCCCTATATATTGAAAACCAATTTTTTAAATACTCTTGGTATTGTGGATTTTTATGTTTCTTTATGTCCTAAGTAAAACAGTCTGCAGAAATTTTGCAAACTGTTTTACTTGCATTAAAAATATTACTTTACGCTTATTTTTGTAGAAAGTGTTTTGGGACTATCATTGGAAAGTGAAAGCAGTAATAATGTTGACAACTATTTAAATAACATTAACAGGTACAGTGATAAGATTCATTTTATTAGTTTAAAGTAGAATCATCAAAAATAAAAAAATGATTTCATATTCGATTTCTTTTTTTTTAGATTGATGGTGTTAGCTTTCGAAAGAATTAAAAAAGTATGGTTACATGCACATATCACTTTTCTAATCAGTCCAATGGGAATGACTGCAATGAAATGTCTAAAACATATAAACAATTATACTGACAATGTAACTATATTAATTAAATAAAGAATTTAAAAATTTTTTTTTAACAATTGTAAATTTTTTCAGCTTATTGAAAAAAAGAGAAAACATATGCAAAATACTTCAGTTGATTACTATGAAGGTATTAATTAATTAGATTAATTTTTGGAATATTGAAATCGTTGATATGAATTTTTTTGAATTTTACAGATACATCCGTAAAGAAAGTGAAACCAACATTGGAATTTATGATACAATTGGCAGACAATGAAAGTAAATTTTCAAAAGATGAACTTCGTGAACATGCATTGACGTTCATTACTGGAGTAATTATAAATTTTTTTCATTTAGTAAACAAAGATAAAAAATTTAAAACAAAAAATTGATAATCTTTTAAAATCTTTCAGTCTTATGATACATCAACGCGAGCTCTTGGTTTTATATTTTTGATGCTTGCTTCTCATCCTGACGTACAGGTAATTATTTTAATTTTTTGTATCATATTATATTAATTGAAAACTATTTATAAATGGAATCAAAAAGTGTAAATTATTTAAAATTTTTAACACGATGATTAATTTAGAATCGAGTGTATGAAGAAATTTTTAACATTTATGGTGACGATAATGTAGAATGTAATCCTGTTCAATATGAGGATTTACAAAAACTAATTTACTTAGAAAGAGTAATTAAAGAAACTTTGAGACTTTTTCCATCACTACCACTTATTGGACGTGAAGCAACAGAGGATTTTGATTTAGGTATATTTTTATTTCAATTATAAAACATATTTTTTTTTTTGCTGTACAAAAATAAACTGTTAAATCATTGTTTATTTATAGATGGATATTTGATACCAAAACATTGTGGTATAGTTGTTAATATATTTGCTCTTCATCGAGATGAAAAAATTTGGCCAAATCCATTAAAATTTGATCCAGACAGATTTTTACCAGATGCAATTAATCAACAACATCCTTGTGATTATATTCCATTTAGTTATGGATCTAGAAATTGTATAGGTATATCTTTAAATTATTATATTATATAATAAAATGATTAATAATAGAACAATTTTATTGACAAATCATTTTTAAATAGGTCGTGTATATGGTATGATGTCAATGAAAATAATTATTGTGACTTTTTTACGTAAATATATTGTTAAAAAGGATAATATTTTGCCGGTAGAGGATATTAAAGTACAAATGGATATTTTACTTCAATCCACTGATCCAATTAAAGTACGAATTGAAAAAAGAGAAAAATTCGTTAATAAAGAAATATGTCAAACATATTTATGAATAATGAAGTATTGAAATTAGAAAGAAATTTTTATGCTTTGAATGTTTATTATAAAAATTTTTTCTATTCAAATTTAAATGTGACAAAAAGTTGACATTGAAAATTAAATTCTAAATTAAAGTATATTTAGAAAGAATTAGTATTAGAACGATTATGTATTGTTTAATAAATGAAAAAAAGAAAAAGTTCTCTAATTCACTTAGTAATTGACGGACATGTTCATTATCAATTTTAATTGTATGATCAACTGAAAATAGAATTCTCCAAATACCTCTCGATATCCATATTTTTTACAGTTATAATTATAAATATATGTGTGTGTATGTATTCAAATGCAAGTACAAATTTAACCTTCCTGAGAAGTTTCTTTTTATCAAGATTGACAGACGGTAATTTGATATATACGTTCCATAAAAGACAGGTATAATTATTAATTAGCAAGTTTCAAATCCGATAAATCTAGTATAATTTCTCGATTCTTTATTTTTCTTCTCATTATTACTGCAATAAAACACTTCGAATATGATAATAACCCATTTGCTAATTAATTATTCATTTGCCTGCAGAAATGATTAATCATGATTTGTCATATCATATAATTGCATTATAAAATCAGCGAAACTTATTCTTTAAAATCTTATCGTTAAATCATTAATCTTATCAAAGGAAGCTATACGTGTATTTTAATATTATTTTTTTCTTCTTCAAATTTTCTAATTAACTTCCCTTGTATGTATATAGAAAGCGGGGCTTTATTAATCGACATAACAAAAAATTTAATTAGCTCGTTGACGTAAAATAATTACACGTCACTTTATTAACAGAAGTCTATTTAATTTTAAACTTTTTTTTTTTCCCCCTTTATTTATCAATTAAGAAGATTTAAGAAAATGTTTAATTACTCTCTTTTAGTTGCAACATTTCCGTTATACTCGATTACAAATTGCTGATATATATATAGGTATATAAGCGCAGCGTGCTTATATCGCGTCAGTGAATATTTAGAATAAAATCAAGGCCTTATGAACACATCCGGACTCGCTAACTGCGCTTTTACATTTCTCACCCTTTTTACTCCTTTGTCATGGAAATAAGCCAGCGCACTTGGCACAGCTAAACTGACAAATAATAAATGCACAATAGCTCAAACGTGAGTCAGTTTCCTGTCCAATACATGTATAAATTATATATTGACTGTATAACAAAATACTTTCCCTTTTATTATTTGGTCAAAATTTCCAAATTAAAAAAAAATTCTTTTACACTTGGTTCAAAAATTTAATGGTTGAATTTATTAAAAAGAAAAAAAAACGGAAATGCATCCGTTTTCAATGACATAATTCTTGGGTGAATTTCTGAGCTATTTAAATTAATTTAACCCAATGTAATAATGTGTTAAATTAAAAAAACAAATAAGGATTAATACTCTGATCAATTAATCATTGGATCTCATTTGGAGAAGACAATATAATATTTAATGGTGAATTTCTGAGCTATTGAAATTAATTAAACCTAGTGCAATCATAAGTTAAATTAAAATAACAAATAGTGATTAATACTCTGATCAATTAATCATTGGATCTCATTTGGAGAAGACAATATAATATTTAACGGTGAATTTCTGAGCTATTGAAAATTAATTAAACCTAGTACACGCATACGTTAAAATAAAATAACTAATAATTAATTTTCTTTAATAAATTAATTATTAGTTATCATTTTTGGAACACATATTCGAAACATAAATTTTCTTGGGTGAATTTCTGAGCACAATACAATGATACGTTAAATTAAAAAAAAACATTAATTTTTAAATGAAATTAATCATAGGTCCTTATTTTAAGAAGAAATTTAATTTCACAGGAGATGAATTATTTTCAGTAAATTTGTAAAAAAAAAATTTTCTCGTTTTTATTAAAAGATTAATAAAATATTTATGAAATTTTATAGGAATGTGAAAATTATATTATGATGAATAAAAGACGTATTTCCTTTATTTTCTTAATGTTTTTTTTTTACATAATTCTCTAAGAAATTCTTTACTAGAAATTTGATAAGAAAATTTAAGGAAAATTCCACTTAGAGATTTTTTTCAAAAAAATATTTTATTTTTAACTAACTATTTAGGTGATTTTTATTTTGTTATTGCAAATCTTAAAATATATTATTCATTTTATGGGAAAATATAATTTTCGATAATAAACTTTCATGTCTGCAGATGACTTTTCTCCGTAGCATAATTTTATCTCACTGCTGGATAAAGTTTCTTCTTTCTGAAAAAATTAGTTTCTGAAGGAAACTTTTATTTCTTAGTATATATATATATATGTAAGGAGAACTTTACAAATGATGTTTTCTCTAAACGAAACGTCTATCTTCATTTTATTTGAAACAATTTTCTGAAAACTTTTATTTGTTTATATGATTTTTGATGTAAAACAATTTTCCTATGTTCTATATTGGAATTAAAAAATTTTTCTTTAATTTTAAGAATATAAAATTGAAATTTAATTTTAGGATTTTGTTTGTTTCAATCATGGAGATAAAAAAATCAAATAGCTTATCTCCTATTGTATGAAACAATATTTATCTTAATAATTTTCAAAAGGGAAATTCTGTTTTCGTGATAAAAGAAGCTTTTTCTCTCCCATTAGTCTTCGTTTTTGAACGTACACTTTTTGACGGAGATTTTTATTCATACTGCACACTAAATTTTTAAAAAAAACCACCACTCATAGGATCAGAGGCTGTATTTTCATGCAGATGCTTGGCGTATTAGCGAAAAATGCTGCCAGAGCGAGAATATTCCTAACGGCTGAAGTGCGGGCGCATATAAAATTTACATAAGCCAACGGAAAATTGTCGCGCATATTCTACGGGTCCATCTCCCCCTTCTCTTCGCTACAGTCAAAACTAACCCCCCTCGGTCTCTTTCATCCTCCCTGGAAAACCTCTTTACCAATTCGGGATGATTATAATCGGCACATGCTTTTTGGTACAGTTACTTGTCATGTCGCGTCGCTAAAAACCATTTTTAAATATTCCACTAAAAATTGTCCACGAATTTCTCTAAGCAAATGAAATTCATTTAGTTGCATGCATTCATGAGTTTAGATAAAAAATTTTAATTGATTTTTCTATCAGTAATTTTTCTTGATATAATTTTAACCATATTGTCAATTTGTTAAATCATCATAAACAGAACTTCCAAACAATAATTAATGAAACCTTTTATGAGCATGGAAATTCTGAATATTTCATCAGGAAATTTAGTCAATTGTAAACTACAAGACAGTATATGAGCTAGTAAATAGTTTACATTCCAAGATAATTCAAAATTATTGAATAAACAATTTGAAGTATTTGAAATTTATCAATTTTAGTTTTGCGGTAGCACGCAAGAATTACAGCAAATACTATTTAGACGATTAGAATATTTTTGTTGTAAAATTTTTTTTAACAAAGATATTAATATAATATTTATAAAAGTCTGTGGAAATTCAATTGCAAACTCTAATGGAGACATTTCAGTGCAAGATGAAATTTTTTTTGTAAAAGAATTCTTTCACAAGTGAGAAAATAAGTGTTAATGCAGCGGGTAAAGTGTCGCTTTTAGTTTGAGATTGAGGGTAGATAATCGATTCATCTAATTCTTCTTCGATTTCAAATGAAAAAAGGGGAAAAATACAATTTCCAGTCTACATTCAGCATTGACAGAGGATTGAAGCCATAAAACAATCGAAATACTCTTGAGGCGAGACAAACGGGGAAAGAAGAAGAAGAAGAAGAAAAAGTGGTATTGATTCGAGCTACTGTGGTTTCTGAATTCAATTCTCCCTTTTACTTTCTTTTTCAGTGACGATGTATAAACGTAAAATGGACCACCTAAGCTTTCTCTCATTCTCCTCCATTTTCCTTTAGACTCTTACATAGCTTTCATAACACCCATCCCTCTTTTCTTCAAGAGCATCTATTTCAATGGCAATTATGAGCACTCTTTTCTACAGAGTGGAAAACAAACAATTAAGAGAGGCTAAAAAATAAAATCCACGACGTCATTACGTTTGGCCATTGTAAACAGCAGTCCATAAACTTTAAAGAGTGAGTTAAGGGTCTGGGTACTTGGAAATTCTCTAGAAGCGCAAACGAGACGAAACCACAGTGAGGGTCAACATCAATGTCACCATTTCGAATAGTTGAACCATTCTAGAATTCCTTTTCGTAAAAGGATCAAGCACACGACTCTGATGAACGTTTGAAGAACCGAGAAATTCGATTATAATGTTTAGCCAACATTTCCTGGAATTGTAAATAACTTTAATTTGAAAGATAGAAATTTTAAGACCATTGTGTCATTCCAAAAATATTTCTAATGTCCAACGAATATTCTATTTTAGTGAGAGATGAGTTGGATTTTAGTTTTCAACTTTTACCAACCTGGCTTGTAATTCTGAAACTTGATTTCACTTTGATCTCATTTCACTTGGAGTTTACTTCTTTGAAATTCAATTTTTAATAATCTGTGAGTAACCCAGCAAGTTTGCCAAAAGTAAAGTAAAGTAAAGTCCAAGTGAAATCAAGTTATAAAATTGCATCCATAAGAGATTTTTAAATCTGTGCATAATCAACCAACATAGATGAGACATCACCACTCAGCAGAGGCGCGGCTATTGGTCATTAGAACAAATATTTCTTGGGTGAATTTCTGAGCTGTTTGAATTAATTAAACTCAGTGCAATGATATGTTAAAATAAAAAAACAAATAGTGATTAATACTCTGATCAATTAATCATTGGATCTCATTTGGAGAAGACAATATAATATTTAACGGTGAATTTCTGAGCTATTTAAATTAATTAAACCTAGTACCCGCATAAGTCAAATTAAAATTACAAAAAAATATTAATTTTGCAAAAAATTAATCTTAAGACCTTATTTTGTGAAGATTTATTCAAAACTTATAAATCAATAAAAAAAAGAAACGATTTAAATTCCAAGGATCGTGAAAAATTATTCATTTTATAAAAAGATAAAGAAGGATTAAA